ATCAATTGCAAAGACATGTTATTATGTGGGTCACTGTCATATGGATGATTGAAAACAAATTAGGTAATGCATCAAAGGGTAGGAATAGATGCTGAAACATGATGTCGGAAATTTGGCAAAGATTATGCTGATTTAAAACTAGAAAAATAGGCAAGACTTGGAAATACTACAAAGCAGCAATGTGTAGCCAACCGCAATTGTGTAATTTTGTCTTTCATCTAAATCCATAATTGTTGCTGTACTTTTGAGTTTTTAGTAACTATAAACATGTTGTGTTGTATTTAATACTATGTACCCAGTTAACAAATTTGTTTTTGGGTTTTAAATACGCATACAGTTTTCCATAATCTGTAACACAATGTTTGTAGTATTAATATTATATTTAAATGGTGCTTTAATAAGTCATATTTACCTCGTAGTTCACGTTCAAACTTCTCTGCTAATTCTTTATCTATTTTTTTATGCAAAGCAAGTAGACTCTTCCATTTGTCGTAAGCATTCTCCATAAGTTTCCATGTGTTCAATATGTGTTTGGTAGGACTTCCTGTACATCCCTCTATTTTTACACAAAGTTGCTTCCATCTATCCCCTGTGTCAAGTACATTACAAATATCAGCTTCGCAGTCAAATTCACGAGATTTTGTCAAAGATTCCTCCTTGGCGAATTGTTCCTAAAGTGAAAACATTAATTATTAAAATAATTCATTCACACTCTCAAGACTAGAAAATAAATGATGATCACTTTTCTTCAAAAAGTAGTTCATATGATCACTAGCAGTCACTACAACTCTTTGTTAACTGAATAACTAATAATCCAGTGATGAATTATATAATTCATTGCTAAGCTTTGACCCAAGCATTTGACCCAGGAGTACACAGTGTGACCTTGCGGTTCTCGGCATGATGGGATTCCACAGATAAAAGCATGTTCTCAGCAAAACAGGTTGTGCCCTTAAAAGTCACATATGTAATAGTCTTTATCGTGCATGTAAGTGTCAATTGCGTAATGATTGCTTTACTGAACTGTGAATCATTCACGTCAAATAATTTACAAATGTTAATTTACTAATGTAGAAAATCATGTTGAATACAATTAATATTTCAAGATAGCTGAATTATCAGTCTCTGGGGTATTGCTTTCTGTCAGATGATTGACCTAGACTACTCATATGTTATGCAACTACCTGTGCAAAGACGCTGACTATTTTACATTTCACTGTCCTCACAATGAAAGAACGAGTCATTGTAATGACATAGTCTCCGTTGGAATTAGTAAAAAGTCAAAAATACTTATTATGAACCAAAAGCATAGTTAGTAATTGAGAGTGAATAATTGGTTGGTCTAATATCAACAAGTATTATTAAATTACCCTTCCAAAATCAAAATATATGGACAGAAATTAAATGGAATATGCTATTCATGCATTGTTTGTGTCCAAACTGAAGTTGCTATGTTCAAGCTCATATATAGGATATAGTAATATGGTCAAAAAGAAAGATTGCAGGCAGTCAATTTTTAATCGATTGTGAAACAAATTGTCATGGACATGTATTCTGATATGTACAATTTGAAGTAAAAGATACATTTTGAAAAAAAGATGGCTGCCAGTTGGTCATGTTGGATTCAAACACGAAATGAATCATCATGTATAATGTTTGTGTCAAATTTGAAAACTGACAAATCCTGTCCAAGATACTACATTTTCCAAAAACAAGACGAATGGTAGTCGGCCATTTTTGATCTGATTATGAAACAAACTGTATGTATGTTGTATATGCCAAATATGAATAAAAATTATTCCTAAGCCTTGGAGATATAGTATGGTCAATAAGCAATTGGTCAGTTGGTGAAGTCCAATTGGTGTAAGATTTTCTATATATTAGTTGCAGCTAATCAATAAAGAAATTGTATATCTGTTGTCCTGGTTGTGCAATCTATCAAAGCATAAGGTAATGGCATGTAGTGAAAAAAATATGCTGCTTACTGCTTTTGAGAAATTGAATTCAATGGGTTTATTTCCTTCCTCTTGTACAGTAACATCACATTTGAAATTTCTGTTTGCAATGGGTTGAGATGTTTCACACACAAACTCAACATAATCATTTGTATTGTGCTCGATAGTTTCACAATCCAATTCTTTTACCTGCAATTTATTATATATCATGTAATTATAAATATTCAAACCATATAAAAATAAAACAATTACCGAAACCACACCTTAGTATGCAAACGTGAAATGAAAAAAAATGTATCATGAAATACCTTCTCTGTTGACCTGTCATTTAAAATTACCCAACCTTGAAAAGTTTTACATTTCACGTTCACAGGAGTTGCAGGGTCATTTATTTTTAATGGTTTTCGGGGTGCCAACAATTTTCCTCCATATTTCTTCTTTTCTCCTTCTTCACATATCTATAAGAATTAGTGAAACCATGATTGTGGAACATTGAAAAATAAAATTATTTCAACAGAATAAAATAAAGATGCTCAGTAGATAGATAGGATATAAAAGAAGCAAGCTATATCAAGTAGGATTTTTGAATGCATATAAATTAATAGCTTAGAATTTAAAATATTTTCAACCCACTAACAATGAGGTGTATGTAGTATCCCATAACATTTAATAATACTTTATATATTAAGCAATGATCTGAGCACAGAGTTGTGTAATGTAACAGCGACATACAATTTGTCAATCAACAGCTGAAGATGAAGGTCACAGGCTGTGATGATTCAAGTATTTTCAGCTATTGGATTATTTGGGAGAATCATGGTGTATTACAAATCACAACTTCGTTTATCATGGAGAGTATAAACATGTCATTGGGAAACAATTACCAAGTGATTTATCTTAAAGGAACCCTCAGCACTGTTGTAAAACAGTTGCACAAATATGACATGAATACTTTTTGAATAGGTTTAGTAGTGTCTAAGCATGATCAATAATTGTGAGCACAGACGGACTCTTTTTCTACATTTGTTGTTTATATCCCTCAATATATTTTCCCCTCTTCTGTTGCTATTGATCAATACTTAAAAATATTGTATTACATATTGGGGCAAAAGATTGCAGGAAATCACACACAAGTAGGCCTCCATTGACTGCTTTGCCAGTAATATGATTAAAAAAACAGAAACTTGTAATACAAAATATAAAGTTTAGTGTCTTACCCAGCCCATATCTCCTATAGTGCCATATATTCGTAATTTCATATCACTTTCACATGTCTGAAGAAATGGGTACAATTGAATGTACTTTTTTATCCCCAATTTCTCCTCAAACCACGAAATAAGTGATTTAATTACTGAACCAGAAAAGTGGTCAATGATCAATGTAATTGTGTCTTGGTCAATGATTCTTAACGCATCTTGGTCTTTATCCCAGAGCGGTTTCTTGTCAATCTCAGTGGGTGTAAAAAGGACGCTTACTTCAACTTCATCTACAATTTTCTCTTGACATGGCATCATTAAATACACATGTTTATCAAATTGAAGACCATGAGGGCCACAGAATATAGTTGGGGTGACGGCAATTTCATTTGGCTGTAAAGGAGGCTGATATTCCTTTTCATCAGTGACCAAAAGAAAAATGGGTTGAATATTTCCTTTCCGAATGGCTCCTGGAGGAATGTAGAGCTTTACCCTAGTTTGTGGTAAAACCAAACAACCACCAGAATAATCAAACATTCCAGCTACGTATCGCCTGGTGAAGGAAGGTTTAAATTCAGGAAATGATCTCACTTCAGAACCATCAATAAGATAAGGACATATGCGCATGTCACCCATTGCTGTACATAACTCTGTTATGTCACCTGAAATAAAAAAAAATATCAATTTTGCAATAACAAACTAATGAAGCAATTAACACATATATATATGTGTAAAAAATATGTTCACATATATACTTACTATTTATGTGTCTAGTACATGTCTAGTAGACAAAAAAAAGCTTAGACTGAACTGAGGCGAGGGTTCTTCGCCTATTTACATAGTTCATACCCACCATAGACTCCAGACAGTCAAAATGACTATTTTGAACTGTAGGCATTAATCAGCGATTTTTCTGGTGACGGTGAGATAGAATCTAGGTCAGGGGAAGCCCCATGACCCCAAGATTCTTTTTACTTACATCACGAACCACGTGACCGAGCCCATATGGCGACGCCATAGACAGCTGTACAATCACTCTGGTTCCTTTCTCCGAATCGAGGACTTAGACCAATGCTACGGAAAGAGTATTGGTGGTTGAGGGAGACCCGGAGTCTATGGTGGGTATGAATTATGTGAATAGGCGGGTTCGGAGAACCCTCGCCTAAATTCACTACGTTCAATTATCCACCATAGACTCCAGTCAGTCAAAATGACTATTTTGAACTGTAGGCATGTTCAGACGCCGATAGGTGGTGGGTTTTCCGAGCAAACAGAAAAATGATGAAAGTCTCTTCCCAGTCTGGGATGAAATACAATAATCACTCAACACCCTGGTTAAGGCCCAAAAATGGGTGTCTTACCTTGCCTGTGCTGTCCCCAGAGGAAGAAGCCAAAATGCTGCTACGGTGACAGGGTCCGGTATGCCCGAGAAAGCTAGACCCCAACCCAATACTGGGGGTAGTAAGCTTTCGAAGTAAAGACCAAAATAGTTCTGCATGAGGGCATAGGCCTCAAAGCGGGACCTGGGAGCTTCCAGGGAGTGCTGATGGTAGAGAAATCTGTCCACATAAAATATTGAGACTGATTCATTGCCTATGCGCAGGGACCCTTTTGGTCATTCGGGCTGGGTCAGCAAACCAAGACTGACCCGCTACGACGGGCCCAACCTAAAGAGACCTTCCTCAATGGATACAGTGTCTGTTAGGTGGTAGTTGATAAAGACGTACTGCATTCTCCAGAAGCCTGCCCTCCGTGTATGCTCGAGGGGGGCACCTGGCGCTAGCACCAGTGAGTTGGCAATCGCACAGACACAATTTGACAGCCGGGGCATGACGATCGGGTGAGGATTGTGTCCTGGGATTTGGTTCTAGGCAAGAAACCTGATTCGTGTCTTTCGCACAACTTGATTGTCCATAACGGCGGTACATCATTCGAGAAGGACAATGCCCCCAGCTCTGGTCAACTCCTACCTGAGTCAAGGGCCAGTAGGAAGACTATTTTCCACATCGAAAAATTTGATTGGTGCTGATCAGAGGCTCAAAGGGTGGTCAACTTAGAGGGTGGTTCCCTTGTATGGGGTCTTGGCGTCTGAAAAGCAGTAAATAGTCTCCTAATAATAGGACAATCAGCTAGTCTTGTTCCTGTACGTTCTCAATGGTGGGGGACAAGGCCAACCTGTAGCCAATGATCGCTGCGTAGGACATACCCACTTTGTCAAACAGGTGGACCAAAGAGCCTCCTACCTGGCCAATAGTGGGATGGTATGGATCAATCTCCCTTCCGCTACACCAATCAGTGTATGCTCGCAGCCTAGAAATGTAGGCCGCATAGGTGGAATCCCCGTTCGCCCTTGCCAGGATGTTGGCAGCCCACTCAGATAAGGCTTTTGTATGTGCGGGTCTAATGAGAGCCTCTATGCATGTAAGTGATACCCGCTGGGCTCATTGGTAGTGTGCCCTCTGGTTGGGATGGCAGGTCTAGTAAGTCCTGAAGCACTACTGGTGTTTTGACTAGCATTTCCGACAGAAGTGGAAACTAGGCCTTCCTTGGCCAATTGGGTGCGACCAATGACAATATGCAGGCGTGCACCTGTCGAAGTTTTATCCAGTGCCCGGTGAACTAGCGGGAAGGGAGGAAAGGTGTACACAACTAAGTGGGTCCACAGGGTGAGCAAAGTGACCTTGGCCCAGGCTCCTGGAGTCGGCAGGAGTGTTACGTACGTTGGGAGCTTGGCGTTCCGGGGTGTGGTAAACTGGTTTAACCTTGGACCGTCCCACAGCAGAAACAGCCTGGAGGCTTGTATGAACAACCCCGTGTTCTGGAGACGAAGCCGCCCTGAAAGGGCGTCTGCCAGACTGTTCCTCACCTCTGGAAGGTGGTGTGTTGTTAGCTCCACATTGTATTCCAGGCACCAAAGGAGGATTTGCTGTGCTAGGACTGACAACGATGAGGAATGCGTCCCCCCTTCTTCTTGAAGGAGACCACCGCTGCATTGCCTGTGCGGAGCAGGACTTTGTGGTCTCGAACTACGGGTAGAAAGTGTGGTAGTGTTAAGTATACTGCTTTCAGTTCGAGCCGGTTGATATGGTAGTCCCGAAACTAATGCGGGCCATATCCTTGGACTTGTTCGTCCAGTAGATGCGCTCCCCTTTCTTGGGAGGAGGCATCAGTTACCAGAGTCATACTTGCGGCGAGCGGGTCCAATGGGGCTCCTGTCTGAGGTTGGCCAGTGACGGCCACTAGGGCAGGGCTTCCTTCACTTGATCCCAGATCAAAACTCACCTATCTAGTTCGCAAGCGTTATACCGGGCGGCTGCATAGAGCGACTTGGGGAACGACCCTTCAAACCGAGGTCATCATTCTGATGATCCGCCTTAGTTCTCGGAGGGACACTGAGGGGACGCTGACTAGACATTCGGCTAGGCTGCTTAGCACTAAGCAACACGCTTGCAATAGCTAAACCAAGCTTACCTCTGTGTCAAAACTCCATGCCCAGCGACACCAACTGCGCATTGGGTCAAGGTGGGACTTGTCGATTAACTAACGAGCCCAACTGGTGAAGTATATCTGTGTTAGCCTGACATGTTTGGCTATTAACCCCTTGTCAGGGTTGTGTAGTAACCAGTAGTCTGGGTACAAAATGAGGTGTACCAACATTTGGTGAAGCAGCAGCACTACCTGTTTCGTCACTCTGCACGCGAAATTTGAATACTTGGCCCAGCTGGGCTACTCGAAGGAGATGGCAACTAGCCGGGTGCATCAGTATGTGCAGGTAGGCCCCGCTTAAGTCTAGTGCGGCTAGCCAGTCGAAACGGTGGATGGAGAAAAGAACCCTGAATGGTGTCTCCATGTGGAACTGATCGAGGAGCACATACTGATTCAGTCTGCCTAGGTCCAGAACTGGATGTCTGCCACTTGTAGATTTGGTACTACGAACACATTTGGGTAGAAGCCTGGATTTAGTTCCGGCTGATCTACCCTGTGTATGGCGCCTTTTCCCAACAAACTGCTACTTCCTGTCTGATCAGGGAGTCCCCTGGCAGTGCCAAAAAGGGGAGACACTGACGAGGGAGATGGAAATTTTAGCGGTATCCCATAACCAAATGTCACCACCTGGAAAGGTCCATGGGTTCGGCAGTTGTGAGGGGGTGGTGCTCTCTTCTCCCATGAGGTGAGTTCCCCAAGGCCTGAGTTTTGACTAAGTTGTGATCTGACCACTCGCCGAACACATGCCTGTCCCCCCGGTTGCAGAGGTGAGCATCAAACACGCTTCCCCTGCTGCCGGAGTAGACATCCGCCCAGGGAGGGTGAGGAGCCACCACCTGGCTCTTTCCTCCCTGGAATCGCGCCACTACTCTTCCCTCCCATGGAAGGGTATGAGCGCTTGCCTACTGGCTGACTCTAGCTAGCGGATGACACCCTAGGGCATTGTGTTTTTGTGCTTGGGTGCAGGGCCAACCCTCTGGTTCATTGCATTCCGAAGCTCTGAGACTGTACCCACCATTCCCTGAACAAAGAGGGTGGAAGATGTCCAGTCTGCATCACTGAGGTGGGGACGTACCCCCTGACTCAGCTTGTTGGCGAAAACATGTGCGTCTAAGGCCGCATCTCGTAGCACAGTTGTGGCCCAGGCCAAGAGAGCCAGGTGACACTAGGGGATGTCGCATGTAGATGTGCGGTGGCCCGCCAGTAAATGTGTCACCTGGTCTAGGAGGCTGGTGCATTCTGCCTCCGAGGTCTCCAGATTCCTGGGCATGTGCAATAATGCGCTCAAGCAATTCTGCCATCAGGGCTGGATGGGTTGTCTCTGATTCAGCTGGCGAGAATGCCCATGGAATGCAGCTGTCCCCCTTTGCCTGGATAGCCAAACGGAAATTCGTGGTACCAGGGTCTGGGGAAGGAGCCTTGGGATCCGGTTGGGGGCGTTTTGGTCTCATCCCATGCTATGGGGTCTGATCCCGAAACAACACCGACCGGGTAGCGTTTGGTCTGGCAGGAAGTGTTGCCTGAGGTTTTCCCCAGCGGGCCTTAAGCGGTACGTCCTCCGTGGCTGACCAACGTCCGCCCATCAACACCGTTTGCACGTCCTGCGCCACACTCCGCACTCAGACGGACAGGGAGGGACATGTCGACGGGGTTGCTTTAGATCCCAACCCCCGTGATCCCCTAAGTGTTGAAGCAAACTTAGGTGGTCACCTTAGGATCAAGGGTGGGGGTATTTACATTGTATCACTGGGATCGATGATCAGCATCACCCCAAAAGCGTGGCTCAACGAGTCATTATGAATGGAAGTCTCTGAGGGACCGCCCGGAGTACCGGCTGTATCTGACGCGAGAGAACTGCGTCTCCTTTAACTTAAAACATGTGAGAGGGAGCATGTTTGACTGTGCATCTCATGACAGGGTCGGTTCCCTCTGGGGACGCCCGTGGGTCGGAAAGAAGGTCCAAAACCCACAGCAGAGACTGGACACAAATATAAATTCATTACCATTGTACTGTTACCACGCGACGAACCCTGGCTGGCTGAAAGTAGGGGGGGTCAATGCATGCCCTGCCCTGAAAGCCCCACCCTGAGATCGTAGTCTTGGCTGCCAGCACCTTGTTGGCATTTAGTGCCCGAGGCTCCAGAGGAGGCCCAGTGCAATTAGCCTGAGCCTCGGCCTCACCCAAATTAGTGGGAGCGCCGCGGCTGGGAAAGGGGGTTCCCCGGAAGAGACATGTTTGAATGCAAACATGCTTTCGTGTTTCTTCCTGCTTTCCCACCGAGGGGTCGCAGTGGAGACAGCTCGCTCCGACTGCGTCTGATCTACCCGGCCTGCCAGGGATGCAATTGCCCCAACAGTCCTTCAACCGAAGCCCTCAACTCGGAGGCAAACCCGGCGCCGTGCAAGGAAGGGTCCACAAAGGGAGCTGCAGTAAAATCGGGTAAACCACCACCTGAAGAAACAGACTGTGAGGATGCCCTCTGATCAGTGGGGGGAGACCGAGAAAAAGTATTGGTACCTCCACCATCAGGCCTCCTACTCGATGTCCCGGTACACGAAGCACCGGTAGCCAAGCGGGGGACATTCCACTCATTCCAAAGACGCACTCACTTTAACCAATTTGTTTACTGGACGTGCGACCTTGCTGTGAAGAAACGAGCGACGCGGTCAGTCTCAGCCATTTTGATGGCTCCGAAAAAAAATCTCAGGCCTCAGAACTCCAGTGAAAAAAAAAACGACAAAAACCCCGAACCCCGCACGCAGCTACGACAAAAGTATTTCGAATGCGGTTCTATCCTGGTAAATTTTGAATATAACCACTGCACAGTTGACTCGAAACACAAGGAGTCTAAAAAAAAAACGGCAGTGAGCCCTGGTGCTTTCATTACAACTATTCATTTCTAAATACCTAGATCAAGCATACAATGAAGACGACATGCATGAGGGAAGCGAATTACAATAGGAAAGAAGACGTACGAAACTAACAAGTGATTAAGGTACGTCGCCCGGGTTTTATTTCTTTGTTGTGAAAAATACTACACAACTAAGGGGAAAACGACACGAGGGTAAAAATGACAAGAAAAACTTATCCTACCAGCTACAATGTTGGATGCCGGGCAGCGGCAACAACCCCAGCTAGAAACTCAGACAGAAAAAAAAAGGCAGGCGATCCAGGCAGAGCTTGCTAGACTTGATCTCCATTCGATGCGAAGAAAAGTCAGAGTAATTGTACAGCCGTCTATGGCATCGCCATATGGGCGGCTGGGTCACGTGGTTCATGACGTAAGGGAAAAAGAATCTTGGGATCATGGGGCTTCCCCTGACCTAGATTTTATCTCTCCGTCACCGGATTAATGCCTACAGTTCAAAATAATCATTTTGACTGATCGGAGTCTATGGTGGGTAATTGAACGTAGTGAATTCCTGTGTGTTGAGAGTATTAGAGACACATTAACAATTAATTCAAAATTACTCGTACTGAAAATAATAATCAAACTAATTATGCAAATCAGGAAATTAATTTGAACAGATTTTGGGGTATAACTAATAAGGTCTGCATACCAAGTTTAATTGAAATGTGATTAGAACCAAAAAAATCATGAATTATTGTTAAGGAATTAATATGAACTGATTTTAAACCCAAAGTAATCAGGTTTTTACATTATCCTAGAGCATATATGTAACAAGTTTCATTGAAATGAAATAATTAGTACTTACTTGAGATAGCATTGTGAAAGCTTAAAATTGGCTTAAATATACAAATTAGGTAATTAATGTGTAGAGATTTAATCAGGTCTGTCTATTGTCCTAGAGCATCTTTGTACTATGTTTCATTGAAATGTGATGATTAGTACTTGAGACATCAGTGTTAAATTGGTTAATTATGCAAATTAGGTGACCAGTATGCATAAATATTACCCAAAACTAATTGGGTCTTTACATAGTCCTATATTCATTGAAATGTGATGATTATTTTAATATTTAAGATATCATTTGAAAAGCTGCAAAGTTATGCAAATTAGGTAATTAATATGCACAAATATATATCCAAAAACAAATCAGGTCTCTGCATAGTCCAAGAGGATCTATGTGCCAAGCTTCATTATAATATGATGACTAGTACTTGAGATATCGGTGGAAAAGCTGAAAATTAAATAATTATGCAAATTAGGTGAATAATATGCAGAAATATTTCCCAACAAATCCATCAATATCTGCATAGTCCTTGAATATCTATGATCCAAGTTTAATTGATATGTGATGACTACTACTTGAAACATCAAAAGCTGAAAATTAACTAATTATGCAAATTGGGTAATTTATATGCACAGACCTAAATCTAATCAAATCTGCACATTAATTCAGAGAATCTATGTACCAAGTTCCATCAAAATCCAATGAGTGGTTCTTTAGATATCAGTGGAAAAGTCATGAAACAGCTAAAAATTAGCTAATTATCATGCAAATTAGGTAAGTAATATGCATGGATTTTTACTAAAACTAAATCAATGCATTGGCCCAGAGCATCTATGCACCAAGTTTAATCAAAAACCAAATTATGGTTCTTGAGATATCCATGGAGTAGATGGCCACAAACACACGCAGGTGTAATCGTAGTTGTGATGCCACACATTGGATTAACTTTTATTATAGATGAATTAACTTTTAATATGAACTCGATTAAAATACGTTCCTATATAGGGTTGCGTTTTACTTGAAGTTTAATTAAACTTAATTACAATGCAATACAACATTTTTAATTAAGTATGGTACACCTTCCCCTTTTACTAAACCTAAGCTTCGCACACTTGACTAAAGGTAGAGATGCAGGTTCGTGGGCACTTGGGAGTGAATTTTTTTTTTTTTGCTTTTTATTATTTAAAAAGTCTTGGCTATAGACTGTTGAAATTTTGTAGAATTGTGAATAGTGGAACATACTCAAAACACGATTTTAAAATATAGATAACAGGTGCAAAATTATCTCTTTTGAATGCTTAGCAAGATTTAGCAAGGCTGTACACAAATAATAAAAAAAAACATGGTGAAAAAAAGAAATGACGGGATCTCCATATTATGCACTGTATTTAACTTTTTACAAAACGATAATACATTTAAATTTGAAACTGTAACAGCCAATTTAATTATGAGCATTAGCAAACTTTTTACAGCGTGAATTGTTATGCAAATTAGCAATTATCTCAGCTTCTTTTTAGTGCACATTCCAGAACATAAAAAAAAATAGCTCCTTGACGCTTTGACCTTTTGTTTTGAAATTTTCACAAATGATTGACAATGTGTTTATCTTCAAAACGCTGTCGGGGCATTGTTTTTAGTTGAATAGTGTTACAGCAATCGTACAGACAACCAGCCTTGGTGTTAATTTATGCATAAACTTGAAGAAGTGAAATTTGAGCTGCTGCCCTACAAAATTGACAACTGGTAGACAGTTG